AATTTTTTCTCCGTGATCGGAATGACCGTTGCCACTTTTTCACGCGAGGATGAACGTTCATCGATCACGGAGAAGGCGTTTGCACGCTTGTCACCGCAGCATCGACACGTATTTATCGATACCTTTCTTGACAAAGAGTAATTGCCAGCTTTGCAGCATCGTGTACTCTCATCAAGGGCTTCGTCTGTCATGAATACTATGATTTGCGCGTGCGCGTGTCTCGCATAAATTCTCCGCCATGCTGCGATGCTTCAATGCCAGCCAAAAACGGATTAAGATGTTTCTGCTTGCACCATGGTTTTAGACTAAATTAATGACTTTTTCTACTTGAAGTTATGTGTACGCTTATTCGTACTAATTTTAATGGAAAATTTGTTTATTATAATTTTTAGATTCTTTTAGAAAGATTTGTTAGACGCTGGAATGTGTTTGCAAATTTTTAAGTATAGTTAAATATATTGGAAGGGGTTTATAGGTAATTTTCTTTTCCATTTTGCGAAAGATTATGATGATCTTGAATATTTTTAATAGCAGGATAGATTTTCCTGTTTTATAGGATGTGATAGTAAAAATGGGAATTCAATAATATAGCGATTTTGAAAGAAAGTTTGGAACATAAATATTTATCAGGAATAATTTTTTTATTATTATTTGCTGATAATAGAGTAATTATTTATTAACTTTGTATTAATTTTTTCCGAGGAATGTAACTTGATAGAAATTACATGTCGTTGAAATAAGATGTTATTGTGTGAAAATTTTAATTACTTGAAATTTGAAAATTTTTTAAATCGTACAAGGGTTTTTTAATTGGAGATTGATAAGGTAACAACAGAAATGCAATTGTTGAATTTTGTAATTTTAAAATACACAAATTTCTAAATTTCTAAATTTCAGAACTTAAAGATTTGAAAATTTGAAATAGTGAAAGTTGAGAAATTTGAAAATTTGTAAAGTTGGATTTTTGAATTTTGAAATTTTCGAATTTACGAGTGTCTAAGTTTTTAAGTTCGAGAACTTAGAGATTTGAAAATTTAAAAATGTGAAAGTTAAGGAGTTTGGGAATTTCAAGAATTTGAGAATTTCGTGATTTTGGTAATTTGAAAATTTCATAACTTGGTGACGGATAGGAAATCGGATAAGATTTCGGATACGAAATTTGAGAATTTGGGAATTCAGAGATTTAGAAAATAGAAAATTTGGGAATTTGTGAACGTAGAAACTTGGAAATTTTGGAATTTGAGAACATGGAACTTAGGAAATTTTGTAATCCGGAAATTTGAGATTTTTAAAATTTGGGCATTTGGAAATTTGAGAATTTGAAAAATTGTAAAGTTGCAAATCTGTAAAATTGAATACTTCCATATTCCTAAACTCCTAAATTTTCACCTTCCTAAATCTTCGAATCTTCAAATTTCCATATCTTAAAATTAGTAAACTTGAAAATCTAAATAAAATTAAAATCTTCAAATCTATTAAAGAATTTTGGAATTTTAAAGTTTAAAAACGAAGAACCATATTAATCCAGAGATGAATATATTTCGAAATTATAATTAATAAGCCGATATTACACTAACTTCAATAGTTAAAATGTGACGAAGAGATAAAAAATAATTCATGCCATTATTTTGCTATAATTTTTTATAATTTTATTATTTCAATTACTTATAGACTATTACTTGCATCATTTTACTATTACTTTTTATTATTTTGTTACTTCAATCACTTGTAGTCGTATCGAGGTTAAAGCAGATTATAGTAGTTCGTCGATAGTGATGGGGATTCAAAGTTTTCTCTTGCAAGTTTTCAAGCAATTAAAACCAGCTTAAGCTTCGAAACTCTTCGGATTTTATTCGAGCTCTAATAGTCTTAAAAGACTTCCTGAAAATCTTCGATGTCTTAATAATATCAAAACTTTTGGAATCCGAGATGTTCATGAATCTGCTTTCGTAGCAGCTGCAAATATGGCTTCCTATGCTCATATTACTGTTCGCGTCATATTTGTCGTAAAATTTACGTTAAATTATAAATTATCAATTTTTTAACAAATTAAAAGATTTTATACATACAGAGTGGCTCACCACATTTTGCCATCTAGATTTGCGTCATTATTATTACTCGTAGCGAACAATGTTTCAGATGAAGTTGAATTTTGAGAGGGGCATATGCTGATGATATATTTTTTATGTAGGTGGACGTGTAAAGGACATATGAAGGCCATTAATGTATTTTTTCAATGGAATCATATATTTTTTATTGCATCAGCTGATACTCCTTCATATTCTTTACAAAAAAGTATTAATCTATTTATGTGAAAAAATCATTAGTTTAGGAGATATTTTAATTCTAACTTGTTAGGAAATCGTGACTTTTTGGTCAATATTATGAATTGCGCTAACTGAACAGCAAATGTTTTTCTACATGCTTTGAGAGGTCACCAAACGAATGGTGAGTTTTTTTTTTGTTACGCAGTAACAGTGAAATTTTGTCTGTGTTACGTCTCTAATACGGTGAATACGACGATACGGCGAATTATCACTTCATTATGAAGTATTCTAAAGAAGAAAAGATAGACATGTTATCAGTTTATTTTGAAGCTGGGAAAAGTGCTACAGATGCAGAAAGATTATACACTACGGAATGTTAGTAAGTTATTAATTTCTCGATTCAGAAAGTGTTCAGATACAAATGGTCGCCACATTGAACCTTTTCTGTAAATAGACATTAAAATTAAAATATCTCCTAAACTAATGATTTTTTCACATAAATAGATTAATACTTTTTTGTAAAGAATATGAAGGAGTATTAGCTGATGCAATAAAAAATATATAATTCCATTTGAAAAAACATTAATAATCTTCATGTCCTTTACACGTCCACCTACAAAAAAAATATAGCACCAGCATGTGCCCCTCTCAAAACCATTCGATTTCATCTAAAACATTGTTTGCTATGAGTAATAATAATGACGCAAATCTAGATGGCAAAATGCGGTGAGCCACCCTGTATAAGCCGTGTCATGTTACTGCTGTATGCTTCTAATATAAAAGATTAAAAATAATTGAGTAGTATAACCTCCGCTTTTCTGCATCCTAATTTTTCCATGATCACAACGATGTACCCAAAAAATGCAAATACACTTTTTACATACTTTTTCCTGTTCATATCCTCGGAATATTCCGTGTAAAAGACAACGTTCAAAAACGAGCATAGAATCACATTTTTCTTCAGGTACTTCCTGCAGCAAAGAAGATATTTAAACGTTCTACTTTCACGTAGTAAGCACTTCACACAGCGCTGCTTTATATTTTCCATAACGAAATGTGCTCGCTGTTTATGTTTGAACAGTGTAGTTTAATTCATTCTTTCATGTCTTCCGCAGAAACAAATGGACACGAATGCAGTTTATCTTTGAGGTAACCTCGTAGAAAGAAATCAAGGGGATTGAGGTCGGGAGAGCGTGGTAGCCATGATGTTGGATTATGTGGTACAGACCATCTGTCAGAATAAGTTTGTCGTAGGTAATTGGTTGCATTGTGTGTAAATGTGTATTTTCCACGAAATGTTCTATTTATCAAAAATGTGAGATATCGTATGAAATATTGGTTTTTTAAACATTGTACCTTAATACGTCTCATGTAGAATATTCCGAGTTGGTATGAATGAAATTTCAATTGTAAAAGAGTGTATCTATCTTTTTTTGGTGTATCGTTGCGTTCACTAAGAAAATGCAGTCATAGAGAAGTAAACATACTATTAACTTTTTCCTCAACAGTCTTTATCTCTTATCAGATTCGAGATATGACTCGTTCTATTTACGTGACGCATCCAAAGATCCTACATTAAGAATATAGAATTATCTAGCAATCTAAGATAAGAAGATTCTATATTATCCAGCAATCTGATAGCAGATCGTACATTTATCAATCATCTGAAAATTGAAAGCGTTAATATCAATCACAAGATGCGCATGCATTATAAACTACGTTTAAATCTAACAAAATAAAAAAGCAACTTCAGAATAACGAAAGAGTTCCTGTCGGGAATATTTTTGATCGAATAGTACGTCGTATCGGTATATGGCCGATTTCGGTTATACTTCACCCAGGCGCAGCGTTTAGTATGAAAAAGCTGCAAACATCGTAAACAACACGTATCTGAAACGTACACGAATTCAACGTATCTTGAGTTTCGTTTCCCTACTGCGAACATATTGGAATCCCCTCCGAGATATTAGCGTTGTAGATCGAATTTATTCCACCTATAGCTATGCAAATTTTTCTAGCTCTCGTCTCCGAGCGAGCTCGACGCGGGAAACTCGTAATTTGTCGGATAGTACGCGACCAATAGCTTTCTTGCTCGTTTTTTTCCACCCCTAACCACCCTCCGTCACGAAATTTCATTCACCCTTCTTCACCCTCGCTCACGCTCTCTTCTTTGTCTTCGTTCATCGATTCAACCTTTCTCCTCACGTTCTCGGCCAATCGCTCTTCCATCACTTTCATCCCCAATTGCATCCCTCTTTTTCCTTTTTTTTCGCAGCATTCACTTGTTATACCGTTCAATCTCAATTTGAATCGGAAGCCCGGTCTCATTCTCTTCACACTTTCTCTCTCACACGTTCACGTGCTTTGCACTCCTTGTCTTTTCCGCACATTCACACAATTTACACTTGTTCTGTCTCTCGCATGTTCATTTCCTCTCTTTCTTGTAGGTACATATCCCATTTACTCTCTTTTTCGCACATGCACACCTTGCATTCCCTTTCTGACATTCACTTCGCACTCCTTGTTCTGTTTCTCTCTTTCAAACCCACACGTTTAGCACCTTCTGTTCGTTCTCTTTCTTTCTGGCGTACATTATACCACCTTGCATCCCTACTCCTCGTTCACACACTTTGCACCCGTTGTTCTTTTTCTCTCCTTTCGTATGATCGTTCGTAATTTCGTTCTCATTTCTCTCTTTCGTTCGTCTCTTTGTTCTGGAAACGATACAGATACCCTCCGTTATGCTTGAACTGCAGAAGCCGGGACAGTCGGCCACGACGAGCGAGGCTCCGGGGATTGCCGCCCGCTACGACTCTGCCAACACAACAACAACAAGGCCGCTTCACGAGTCTAATTCCTAGGCATCTAGTTCGCTAGAGACTCAAGAGAAAATGGAAATTCTCGTACGCGGTTGCTCTCAACGCTTTCACGCTTCCTTTAGAGTTTCTTTTCTTTCTACACTTTGTCGATTGCGAAACTTTACACCCTCCCGCTTTTACCGACGATGAAACGCGTAATTTCCGCACGTACGAAGGTAATATTTTAGAGTTTTAACACGGTGACCGTCACAGTCAAAATTGACGGTAATACAGATTATTAACAATGGTACTTGAAATTCATTTTATAATTTGTTAATGTAGAGATGTTCTTAGGTAGATCATTTTTTGTGGAATATCCGTATTTGTTGATTGAAAGTGATTTTCTACCATTTCAATTTTCTTGTTAATACTTGTTGTTAAATTATTCGTATTGGATGCAACATTTGTTTAAACATATTTAGATAATATCTGTATCTATAGTTAATTCTTTATAAGTTCTATAGTTAAATCACGTATACATAGCTTGTAGGTTATAAGATCTTGTTTTGGATAACGCTGTTAAGGACGAAAGCAATATGTTATTATTGGTGTGAACAAAAATTCTAAAGCTGTGTATAATTACATATAACTCTGATTAAGAATATCACATTTTTTACCGATCGATGTCATTTGTAATAAAATAAAGACTTTTGGAGTTTGAATAATTTTAAGAATTACTCATTTATGTAGGTTTTGGGAGTACTGTAAAATCTATCAATTTAAAAATGTAGAATATAGACTTTCAGAACTGTTAATTTATAAATTTGAAGATAAACTTATTAATTTAAAAATTTATAAATTTTCAGATAAGTTACAAATTTTAGACCGCTGAACGTACCTTCTTATGGAATAATTCTGGTTTCTGTGTCTTTAAAAGGTGATTCGAAATAGAACAAGTATTAAAGTATTACTTTCGTCCTCGCTCTTCGTTATAGCATTGCTTCAACATTAAAAGCCTTCAAAAGTTTCTTTCCTTTGCTTATCCTATAAACAATTAATTTAACCGAATTTGCTGTATTAAAATTTAAGTTTTTAAAATGTATCAGAATTTAATATTAACCCTTTGTCCTATGATTCATTGATCAGACGCGTCAGTAAGAACTAACTATTCATTGCTACAATATTAAAACGAATAGAGAAAGTAGAAATGTTATTCCTACATTGTATTCAGCGATTCTTGACTATGCAAATTGTAATTCAACTTAAACTTCAAATTGAAGCGCATTAAAAATTTGATTAAAGTGATACTTGAACTGTGAGTGCGTCGTGAGTCGGACTCGTCAAAGTATGACATGGGGTTAATAAGATTAGCAGTTTGTGAGCCTACGTATTCACCAAAGGAACGTCTAACACTAAATACACACATAACTTAAAAATAAAATAGAAAAATAAATGAACAAACGATAGAATATTATTATGCACATTAATTCCTTGTCTCGATGAAAATCAACAGGGATTTCAGGAAAAGCATTTTGATCAATTTTTTAACGTAAAGAGGAAGACTTGTGAATGGACCACATGACCCGTTTGGTAGTTTTAGTAATAAATACTTCTTCTTTGGCAGTTGCCAACTGGCAGTTAAAAATGATTGAAAAGTGGAAATAGATGAGACTAGATAAACGACTGTTTGTGTATTAAAATATTGCTTCTTGCGATTAAAATTATGAAACGTTATAATAATATTTTCAGTGATATTTCCTGATATAGATTTTTGTAAACGAAAATCTGTTTTTTAAAAAATGGCACATACAAGTTGATTCGTTTGTGATTTTCAATCTGTTCCTAACAAAAATGTTCATGTTTACTTTTATTTCAACCATGTAAACACTGTTTTATTCATGCAATCAGTGATTGGATTAATGCAATATACAGGGTGATCTGGACCTGGTGAACCAATTGAAGGAGTGACTCTATATAAGTAATAAAAAAATACAAAAGCCTAATTTTATGAAATAAAACTGCATATTACTTTTCGAACTCTGTACGAATGAGTATTAGTCTCTTACATTAAAAATATCAGTAGTTTAATTCTAAAAAAATTAATAGGCAAAAATTTGAAATGCAGAGGCAGCTAAATGTGTTCAAAAATTATAAAACAGAATTGAATAATATTTCACTAATTTTTGAATAGAAAGGAAAACGAAATTGTTGAAAAATAATGAATAAGTTCATTTTTATTAAAACAGAGTCGATGATTTCCAAATAAAAGTTTGCGATAAATCGAAGTGATTCTAAAAAAACAACCAATAACTTTTAATTTGAACAAATTTTTATTCGGATTAAACGTTATTTGTTACTTTTAGAATAAATGCGTGTTGTCATTCTTAATTTATATTTGAAAAGCTTCGAATATATTTCTGTTTCTACAATTCAGAGATGCCTCGCTATTACTTTACAAAATTTTTACTAATAGATTATTTGAATAATGATCAATTTTGCTATGTAATAATAAGCATACAGAAATTATAATGATAGCTGCATTTTCGGCCCGTTTATACTCTGCGTGTTCATTTCAGGACATTAAATTTTAAATTCTTTTATTACATTAATTAGCTAATGTACATAGAACATGAAATAAAATCTGGCTTGCGGATAATATAAATTTAATTAGTAACACGCATTTAATGTAAAAATTAATGTATATTTAACATCAAAATCAATGAATATTTACTGTAAAAATTGATTAAAATTAATAATACAGTTAAGAATTGATATATTTAGTACTATAAAATGAGGTTATTGGGTTAAAGCAGATTAACCCACATTTAACAGTGGGTTAAAAAAGATTAAGTACTTTAATACGTTGATTACCATAATAAAAATTCAATATTTATTATTTAAATTAACTATCCCGAATTATTTAATTAGTATAATTTATGTTGTGTTCGTGAGAAATCTAACAAAGTATATAATCTTAAAAAAGATTATTGATATCATATTTTTAAAATAATTGAAATCTTTATTAAAGCACCAAACATAGCCTTTAAAATTAGGTTTGAAATAATTAGTTAAATGCATTCATATAATTTGACGATTTATACTTTTTCAGATAAATTATTAGCTTCTGTAGTTACAAAATAAATAAAATTACAAATATATAGCGCTTCTTTGATTACTATATCAACATATTATAAATCAATTTCAGTTCCTTGGAAAAATTTTCAAAAAATTGTTTTACTTCTTACATCAGATGACTAAATTAAATTATGTAAGTATTAATTTTTAATTTAACCAAATAAATTTTCAGAATCTTATAGACTGCAGAAAACAAAACATTCACTTTGTTAGTCAGTTCACACAAATTATTTTTTATTCATTTTTCCTCTCACTTCTTATTGATTTTTACTTCTTTAATATAAATTTGATTATAAAGGAAAATATAATTAAATATTTAGTTAAATCTTATACTATACTAAAATTACATAAAAATCAGTGTGCCATTTAAATTTCCTGCCGCAATATTCGTTCGTTGCTCGCGTTTTAAATACTTCACTACCGCAGAGATTATGAAGTAAAATTGCATATAAACATTTTTAACAAAATATTTCCTCACGATAAAATCTGTTACATAAACTGCGATTATTTATATACAAAACATGTGAAAATATATATGTTAAATAATATCTTATTAAGTAAAAGATAATAACAAACAGAGTATTATTATGTGCAACAAACATAAACAGATTACAAATATAATTCAAATTAAAATAACATATAAACACATTTTATGAATCATACTTAAATAATATCATTCAACGTTTTAAATGTAGTTAATTATTGTTAATGAATGTTACTCGTTAAAATTATTTTGTTCACAGAGCGAAAGCTTTCTGTAACGTATGACATGGCTGAAGGACATTTAAATTTTATGACACTTTTAGCTCCCATTTTCGAGATGATTTTATTTCCCAAATTTTGAATCGTAATTGTTTACGAGCGAACGTTAAATACATTTTACGTTTGCATTGTATAGGCGAGAAGAGTAATTATTACAGCTAATTGCATCACATCCGTATTGCATGTTAGTGAAACAATTACCGATGCAAGTAAACTGCAGCCGTATTTGTTATTTCCTCAGGGATTATTTGGAAATATGTTCAACGCTCGTACACATTACATCTGCTAGTAAATTTATCAGTATGAAGATGTTCAATTATTCAGCAAACATTACCGAACTGTTTGAAATAAATACGAAATATTCGCTGTGCGCTTACATGTGGTGGGAAAGGATACACGATGTATGAATTATGCAAGACGTGCCAAAAATTCTGCGGTGTATGCGTAAAATATACTGAAAACTAGGTAGAAACGAAACAAATTCAAGGTATAGTTATTCGGTGCAAAGTTCACCAGCATTTTAATTAATTTATAAGTTACATGCTATCATTTTCATATATTTTGTAATATAATAATTAAAGAAATTGATGTTGTTATGTTTTGTTTAGTGTATAATGAGTAACATTTTGATTTTGTAGAAAAACTTTACATCTTGCAATATTAAAATCACAATACAAAATAGTTGATTTGTATTTTATAAAATTTATTGGTACTTTACTTGTTTTTTTAATTTTTATTCAATAAAATATATATAGTTTTAATTTATTTAATAACATAGTGAATTCAATCTGTAATAATAATAATTTACCTTAATAAATTCATTTAATACATTAATAAAGTAATTGTACTACAGATTTTAATAAACCTATTCATTCACTGAATTATAAATTATTTAATATTTTAATAAAAATGCTATTATTGTGAAAGAAAATTGAATTTACTAAATAGTATTAATTTATTACAGTCTTTGTCTTATAAAATATTTCAATTGTCCAAAAAAGCACAGCTTTTAAAAATACTAAAAATAAAAATACATATTTGCGTAAGAATCAATGTGGATTAAAATCAGTTTAAGAGCTACAACATAGATTTCCTACAGATTTAACGTATTTGAAAGCG